ATGGCGTACCCAGATCACAACTTGTGCTTCATGACATGCTTATGCGCGCATGTTTCAACATGACGTAGACCTGCTGATATCACAAAGTTGACGTCACAGTGGTTTGGTTACGCCCTAAGTATATTAGTGATGTATGTATGTATGTATGTATGCGTTTCATTCACATGGCAAGCGCCAACACACCTCGTGAAAACTAGAATTGTCAAATGTCAAAGTTGTGTTTTAGTTGGTGAAAACTAGAGTGGGTTTTACCAGAATTTGAATTAATACAGAGTGTGAACGGAAAACACAGTAAAAGATGATTGCACCTTTCCAATGAGCAGAAAGTTAAGGCGTTGCTCTCTAGCCGCGGTGTTTATCTTTTAATCTTCATTATCTATGATTGAACTTCTGATTTCAGATTCACAAACTTATTTTCCCTCGTGCGTTGTATTTTCTTCGTATTTCTTCAATAAAGACTCTTTCCTCTTGGCACATATGCTCAACTATTTCATGAGTGAACAAGACAGTCCCCAGATTTTAGTCTTTTAGGTAAATACACAGGGAACAACGTGTGAACCCCTGGTGTGGTACGGAATCCACGTTACGACAGTGGGTTCGATTCCTTGCCAATTTCTCTTCTTTCATATTGTATACATCTGGGCGTTCCTCCAACCTTTATGGTTAGTCGTTGATCCTATATATTTCATGTTGTATGCGGTGGTAGTTTGTCAACAAGGATCGATAGACTACCGAAACCGTACGATTTGGGACGCGATCGGATCGGTGAAAACCAAATTGATTTGCAAATGAGTGTATTCCACGAAAACCCTCTAATCTGTTCACCCAAGTATGCTGCTTAACATTCGGAGAAATTGATTTGCAAATGAGTGTATTCCACGGAAACCCTCTAATCTGTTCACCCAAGTATGCTGGTTAAACTGACATTCGGAGACGAATTAAGCTCGATGTAGTTGGTCACGCAGGTAGAAACAGACTGTAACTTTGACGGCCAGTTTGAGTATCAAAAGGACAACTACACACGGGCTGCCCGTTCTCTTTGTGCCACTCTAAAAGCTCTTGCTTTGAAGCCTGCCCTGGATTACTCTCTAACTCACAGCGCAGATCCCTTCTAGATAGTCACTCAGTCCTATTCATTGTGATTACGATGAGCCCCGACTGATGATTTCTTGGTTGGACGGACCTGAACCTGAGTGTCACTTCAGGAAGAATTGCTCAAGAGTGTTATGCGGTGACGCAATGTTGACCTGTTGGACTCAGTTGGGCCGCTGTTTTCATTCTGAGCAGTTTCATTTTATTCCTTGGTCTTACTCATTCGAATTTGGAGCCGCTCTCAACAAGGTCTGCGCCTCTTGAAAAGGGGAGATCTCTCGCGGAATTTGCGGAGTCGCTTTGTAACAACTGCTTGGATTTGAGCGAAAAATTATTGGAGTCAATGAATATCCAGGAAGGTTCAAGGAGACGCGTTCAGGAGAAGATGGATGTTCAGTTTTTGTAAATAAGATGCAAATGAGAGTTTTGCATCCCTGTCCAATGGTCTGTGACCGGTCAGTTGGCATTTTCTGATAAATGACTCCGCAGCGAAGGTCTTCTTCCTCTCATTTGGTAACATGATTTTAGAGACATTTTTCGAATCGATAATAGTACATTCGTGAGGAGCTCATCCCGATAGTTTCCTAACAGGACTCACGTGGTAGATCACCAAAGGTATGTTACAACCAGCCCACTGCAGTCAAACTCTTTGAAGGTCACTTGAGATTGCAGAAAACTACACTTAAGAGCTGAACAATATGGCTCTACGGCGTTCGAAAACCCATGCTTTCCTCAAATTGGGCTATTTGTGTGTGCATCGCTCCCATTTGAATAGTTTACCTTCCGCACTACCACGATTATTACGCTTATTCGTACCGAAGTCACATAAATTCCCCATCTCCGTCCCCACACCCATTTGCAGAGATATGTGGTCTTAGTCAGGTTTTCATGTATGAAATTCCAACCTCAACAAAACAGTGACATCTTCAGTCTGGTTGATGATCTCCGCCCGCTTGTCTATCACCTTGGCCGCCGCGTCTTGAATATTTTTTCGCCCCAATCCCCATTCGGTTCTTTCTGCGCGGACCAACCAAAATAGTATTTTTTCTTAGACTAATTCGATTACCAGTTTACTACCAGACCCCAAAGATTGTTGACAAAGCCAAAAGATGGTGAACATTTGTTTCTTACACATCCGGCTTAATCTGTTCCTCGCTAACTTGAGGCGTCCGAGTTTGTTCTAGACAATTGGATTAGAGGAGTGTCTACTGCTAGCCTCGGGTTATGATTGTGCAAAATCCATGATGTGTTGTTCGTCCAAACTCCGAATCTACCGAAAAAATTTCCGATTAAACATATACGGAGTTTCTTATGGTTTCTCACAGTACGGATGTTTTACTCCAAACCGAAGGCTGATCCACTTAATTGGGCTGGAAATATCCTCCAGCTTAATTGGAATGAATCGTCTCAGGACGATTTTTACGTTCTTTTACAAACCCAAATCTAACCTTCGTGAAGCAGGTTACTATTGATCAGAGTTTCCACAAGCATGCTGTTACGACCTACAGTGTCTACTAACAGCTCCAAAAATACGTTCTTTTACAAACCCAAATCTAACCTACTACTAACAGTATTCATTCTGGTTGTTGCTCCAAAAGGAGGCATACTTACTGTAGGCATGAAAGTCAAATCGTTCGGTTGTAGAATCCTTTCGATTCTTAGCTGCCATTCCAATAAAATGAAGTACGAAAGCCAAGGTGCCCAAGTCCTGACAGGAGCAGTCGAGATGTTGAGGACCTTACGGTCCGTAGGCTATCTAGAGCTCAGTCACTCTTGAGAGCCTCATTGTAAATGTTTTTTTTTGGTGCAAAGCTATCCTGCGTGCTCTGAGGTCCTTGAATGGAATGACTGAACCCAAACCTATGAGGATGTGCAGCACGCAAATTTTTAATCGAGATGGGCGGAATGGAACACAGAAGTCTTTTGTTTTCTTGCCTAGCTGTTTGGTTTTTGCCCGAATATGCATCGAAGAATATATCAAATCAGATAACAAGCACGTCGAATTCCGACAACTCTGTCAATCTCCCTGTAGATTCTAGATGACGGTTAAAACTACTTGGTCTGTCTTTCAGTGAGAATAGAACAGAATATCAGAAGTTTTGTACCAGAAGGCGTTGTGCGTACACGAGTGAGTGAAGTGGGCAGATGGCCAGTTCCCCCGGGAGCACATATGAGGAGACGTGGCTTTTTGTGAAAAAAATCACGGTTCTAAATGTCCTAAATACCCCGTGCGCGATCAGGGACAATTTAAAATAACAAATATTGCTCCCTACTGGTCGCGGGATAACATTTATTCGTCTATGAATAATGTTATTTATTTTTATCAGTTCGAGTACTGTTCATTCAATATCATCATCATCATCATCATCGATAGCACAACATCAGTCTTCAGCACTGATGCTTCGCAGCCGTACAAACATCGTTTACTTGAAGGGCTGAAACTTTGAAGAGAAGAATAAAGTTGGATGGGGAGGGGACTTGGTGCTAGCTTACTGCAATCATTCCAAGGTACCAGACACTTATTCAGGCAGTCCGGATATAACCTGACAACAAAAGCGTTGTCGACATCGATTAGCAGCTATATCTTTCAGCGTCTACAACCAGGCGCAGTGGGGATCCCGCGGTCCCCATAGAGTTTATCTGTATGTGTGAAATTCATGGTCGTATGTTCCCAAATAAGGATGCAACTCTGATAGTATGCTTCTCAGCATTTCGGCACAGACTGTCCTGACCTTCAGAATGAGCCCTCGATTGAATTCTTTCCACAAACTCAACAACACTACGACCAAGAGTGACGCACTTCGAGCTGGTTTTGGTAGAACCGGAGAGTGAGAACGTTCAACGACCACACACTGGTCATTTCCTTTTAGTAGTGATACCGATACGACTACCATAATGAAACCCTCCGAAGTTGTTCCTTTATATGGAGCCCTAAGTCTGATTCTTAGCTTCAATTCTTTTCCTTCACTCCAGCTACCGAGGATGGTAAGTCTCTTGACATTTGCATTTCTTATGATTTATTTCTTATGTTTCATATGTTTTATTGGATGAATCGATAGAACACTTTTGCATGTGGATTCCGCTATCAGCACAAAGCAAATCCTTATATATTTAGCAATACGTCTACTACCTCATGATAATAGGTGGTCAAACACATTGTGACATTTAAACTTAGCTCACAAATATTCTCGCATTACATCTCATGTGTTACACCACATCCTAAAAATGGTAATACGGGCGAATTTTCCAAGAGAACTGAGCGATGACACTATCTGTGAAGCACTCCTGAGGCAAGAGAATCCAGCCTCACCCATTGAACTGTGGCCAGGCAAGGTGCTGACGTTGGTTCAGCGACGCCAACCAATCACAGGAAGCGATTGGTTGGCGAATACCACGTGACCAGTAGCCAATAAATGGACTACGAAGTACGCGGTCAAACTGTTTGCCTGCATGCAGCTGAGTCATAAAGACGGATGGTGACCGCTCCTGCTATGCTTAAACAGAATCGTCTAAAACTCTAGTGCTGATAAAAATGGACACTTGATATGATGCAAAAGGCAGTGTTTTATGCCAACAATGTGGTGTATGGCTAACAAGTTTCACGGTGGATAGCTAGTAGGTGAAATAAATTTTCAGTTGATGTGAGTTCTCAGGAGTTCCGACAAGTAGATTTGTCGCAAATAAATTCCGGAACATCGAATCACAACAGTGCTTTGCCGAGTGGAAAAACATTGCAGCATATGTAGCCTTCCATCAGCAATGTCGTCACTTGAGGAACCAGTCAAAAAGTGACCAGGTAATGGGGATTAATTGAACGAAGGAGAAGCTGTGCTTTGTCATATTTGGGTGCGTGATAATCGCACCGCTGATTAGCCACTCCTACCCGAAAGCATGGGTCTTCAATTGCCAACCCAATCGTCTTAGAGACTTGTAAATTTTGCGGTACGCACTGCTTCTTAGCGCTTGAGTCTACGGTGAAGTCACCTGCAGAATGAAATATCGATTTAAACTCCTCGTTAACAATAGGCGGAAAGAAATGCTGGAATGTAATTTTACGGGGGTCATGAGGAAACCCGTCGGGGCTGCAAGATAAAGGATCACTGATACCGGAGGAAAGCAGGCATTCAATTTGATTATGAGCGCATGAAAGAGGGTCACTGAGTACCCGCAGGACCTGAATGTATTCGCTATACTTTCGCGTACAGTTTACACTTTCGAAAGAATCTTTTGCTTTTCTAATCTACCTGAATCTTTGAAAAGATTTCTCCATGCCACTAAACTGGACATGTCCACACATATATTTTCTAAGGTGCGTGAATACATGGGGGACCGCGTGCTCCTCACTGTGACTGGTTGGAGACACTACAAGATATGACTGCCAACCGATGGCAGTGGCGTTCTTATCGTTAGTTTCTATCCAGATTACCTGAATGAGTGTCTGGAGGTATAGGCACCTCGGAATGATTGTGGTAAGCTAGCACTAAGTCCCTCCCCGTCCATCTTTACTCTCCTTTCTTACAATAAGGCTTTCAAAAAAATCATGTTTGTACGGCAGTAAAGCATCGATGTTGAACACGGATGTCACGCTGTCGATGACGATGAAAATGATGATGATGATGATGATGATGATGATGATGATGATGATGATGATGATGATGATGATGATGATGATGATGATGATGATGATGATGCGTTAGTCGGTTGTGCTCATCAGTTCATTCGCTAAAGTTTTGTCTTCGATCCTCGACAAAACCTTTGAAAGCCATCTGCCAAGCTGATCGAACAGGCCCACAGCTATCTGAGCAACAAGCAGTCCGAAAATATGCATCAAAATATTGCGAAATGCCACACTTCATGTACTTGTTTTGTAAACAAAAACGACATGAGACATGGTGGAACTACATTTTTCGCGATTTACCTTTGAAAGTGCTCGAGTTAGTAAGACAGGAGATGGCTGTGAAAATTAAGGCTGCCTTCCAGCCAACGACGAAGTATGGTCACAACTCCTAACGAAAGAAGGCAGTGTTGAAATGCCAGTACATCTGGGAGTCTGGAGCCTGCGCTCAACTAAATAGCAAGCTGTGAGACTTCAGCAAGAAAGTTAACCTTTCTTCCGGAATGAAAAGCTCTGTTTCGTTAACAAAATTACAATCAACGAAGCATGCACACAAGCTCTACACGTTTTGTGTCTCTTCTACTTGTTTGTTGCCTGAATGTTTCGTTTTACTTAACGAGGGCTGTGCTCAAATACCGTCAACTCGACTAGTCGAATCGACTGACGCTGCATGGTGCAAATATCCACGTTTATTTCTGGCGCTTTTGTTTCATTTTTACTTCAAAATTTATGTATATATGTTCACTTCCAAATCAGTTGACATCTATCCTGGTTATACAGAATTGTACCACAATGGGCCCGTCCATGCGCGAGCATCTCATCTTGGCTGTTGTCCAGGAAGCTCACTCTTCCGCCAGAATACTCTATAAGTACATTCGTTTTCATATACTTGAACACAGATACACGCCACTCATAAGGTTGCTGAAAATTCTTCGACAGCCCACGGCCGGTTTTGCTCTTCAGGGGCTCAGTCCCTGTGTTTTCGTCAACCTTATGTTCTATCTGAGACCAAACTGCACGAAATTAGCAAACGATTTCGGTTTTGCGAGTGACTCACTTTGAGCTCAGATGAATTTCTCGTTTATAATGCTTCTAAGCAGCTGAATGTGCTGCACCGGGCAGCCTCATTTTTCAGCTGGTACAACATTCAAGATATCGCGATACATGCACAGATGTAATACACTACTCATAAGGTTGCTGATAAGCGAGATATTCAGCTGGGTTCTAGGTGGTTCTCTCGCAAAACCATCTTTTGCACGTGAGTACATTTCACAAGTGCAAATTGTTTTTTGCCTCACTAATCAAACAATAGTTTGATACTGTGGGGAGGTTTTGGTAGAATGCATCCACTGTGCAGTTTATTTACTCTTCCTGAGGGATCTTGTGTCTCTCAGCTGCACTCCACGGGATTTTGACCTTGGTCATTTGATAAAGCTTCGGTGCTATGAGCAACGTGCAAAAAGTCTGACTTAACATAATGTATTACACTCAGTCTAGTTTACTCCAATGCGTTCTTTACACAGCAACCATTTTTCGAGTGCAAAACTTCAGTGAACACGACCAAGGTGTCTATCAATGCTGGAGCCTGGATAATATGGGTACGTGGTTGACCGCTTCGATTTCAGCTCGCTTGGAAGACGATGAACAAGAAGGTTGGAGTGAGTAAACCGTTTTCCTTTGTCCCCTATGAAGACCGGCTTAGTTGGTTTCATTGTCGGTTATGCTCTGTCCCGAGAGCATGACGTCAGTATTGAACACCGATGCTTTGATGCCGTAGATAGAGAGGATGAGAGTGACGATGATGATGCTAGTCTTGGCGGGTGAGCTATTCTTAGCTGCTGCAGCCAACAGCAGTTGAATCCCTCCTTTGGGACATTTTTCTGGAACATGATGAATGTCAGCGGTGTATCAACTATGAAGGCTGACATGCCATCGATGATGTCGGTTTCGTCGGGCTGCGAACACATAGCTCAGTCATCCAGTGTACAATTTCAACGGGTACACTACTGACATCCTGAATGTCGCTCATGTCAGAGCAGCTAGCAGCTTGAGGGCTACGAACGCCAAACTCCTAGTTCTTTGAGTGGGGGAACAAAAGTAGATCAATAATCTAAATAAAGCTTGGACAATGAATGCAAACTCTTTGCTTCCACGCTACTGCGCAATTAATTATTTAGGAAACATCGTTCATCTGCTATCCAGTTTCTGGCTTGTACAACTACACTTCTCAGTTCCCTTGGTGACTGTAAACAGTAGGTGTCTGATGACATCTCCTTTTCACTACTAAACTCCGGGAAGCATTGCTTGCTTTGCACTGCTCTTATCGGCGGCGTGTGCTTCCCACCGCTTCGGTAAAACGTTTATTCCTCTAGAAAATGTCAAAACCACAATGCATCTCTTCCGACATGGTGGATAAATTTGTCTCCCTTTTTTTCTAAATTTTTGTTTATCCGTCAGGACACCAGTTCTCCTCTTCTGTAGTCACTAAAATCTAGTCCACCTAAATTCGTTATAATGATCCGGCTGCTTCTCAAAAAGGCATTCTTGGGTACCCTGAAAATCGAGCAATTTCGGCAAGAGGATGTGGGATCGATGGGAACAGGATGTTAGGTTGATTGCAAACTAAAAGTATGTAAGTACAGGGTGACTCGTGTGTGGTTTTGTTATGAGCCCGGCTTGTGTCTCTATGTGTCTTGTAAAGAGGACTCACCGGTGCTTCACAAGCGGTTCAACATTCAGATGGCTAATTCATGGCAAGTTGGTTCTGGGCTTGGCCACGTGCTGCGTATGTCAGTCGACCGACTTCCTCGAAGGGCTCTTTTCGAACAACCANTGGAAGAGAGCCAGAGGCGGTCAAACAATGACTTGGCAGCGAAGTATGAAAGCCATTACCAGCAAACTCAGCTGCGCTGGTCACTGCCGTCTTCCTGGATGGGGACCCCGAGACGGGCCACATCAATGGCTGGAGACATTGTCAAACATGACTCAGTCGCGCCCTCAATGGCGCTCGTGCATCCAAGCTATTGCCTTCAATGCATGGCTCTTTTTCCAACCGCCCCCCACTTGACAGCCCACTAACAGTGCTGAATTTATGCACCAATTTATTAGCTCCCGCCTCCAATGCGCAGCTGTCTACCCCACCTGCCCGAATCATCGGTGAACGAAACTGCGGCAGCTACAACCACTGTACGACGAGTACGCGGTTCTTACAGCTGACAATGATGAAGTTGGTCCTTCAAAAAGTTCGTATTCTACGTGTCGGGAGAATTTCATGGAGTCAAGGGCCACGCAAGTTCACTAGCATCCATAATAAATAGGCCACGATAGCGGATCCCTGGATTGGTTGTCAATGACATGTGGAACTGACATGAGGCAACTGCAATCGTGTGACCTTGGAAAATTGTAGTTTTTGCTGTTCTAAACTCCCCCATCTGGTGTAGCCTCACAAGCAGTTGGCTGCTAGCAGGATACTCGATCTGTTGTCTCAACCAACTTCTAAGTTTAGTGATATTCGTTTTTCCAAGAGTCTGTTTTGAAAATGAATCGATGCGCAATGAAATGGCCGCATGAAGAGCACAAAATCACATAGTATGTCGAGCGGACAAAATAGTTTATAACAACTTTACCTCATCAAAACAACTACTGGACGTAGTTCGAAGTTCGTTTGAGTTGAATTACGAAGGAAGACGCCACATTTCCCGCTGACACCCCAGATGGAACAACTTCGGATTGAGGGTGACAAAAATACGTGGAGAGCAGTGTTTGGTACAGTGAAGTCGATTGGACTGACGCGTGCGTCGGTAGGTTGAACGATCGTACTTCCGGTCTAGTGGACAATATCTGCTTTATAGGCATTTATATCAAGCTTGAGACAGTCCAGTGGTTAAGGCGCAAACTTATTGACTGGAAGGTCCCTGGTTCGTACCCAACCTCACCTTCTCGAGTGCTCCTGTCTAGGCTTAAGCAACCTGAAAGTATCCCAACCCGGAGAAAATATAGCCGAACGGTTGCCAAGCATTCATATCATTGTATTTATTATAACTAGTATATCTGGCGGGAAAATCAAAGCTACTGACATACTCCAAACCACAGAAGCAAATTGTCGGTTTTCTGCCGGAGGGACTAGTCTAAACGCAGCGGTTGATCCTGGTTGGTTCGCTGAGCTGGGCTGGACCCATCGCTACGCTCCCTAACAACGCCCTGATGATGTCACCTCGATTGGTGATGAGATGTTTGCAATCAAATTGCCCAGCTTGGCGAACAACCCAAGGACCAGAACGTTGTGTCCTGGGTTTTTATTCTGTGTACTAAAAGCCGCTCATCGTAAGAAACGAAAAGCCTTCGTTGAAAATGACCGTGTTTGATCTATTTACCGAGATATGGAGGCACAGTGTGCTTCAACAAGCGGAATTCTTCGTGAACTATGAGATCAATTGTTCACCGTCGTAGGTCTGCTAAATGGGGACCCCTCTTCAGAAGATGGGTTGTCAGAGTAGAATTCTTCGATCTGGGAAAAAGCAGAAAGTTGGAGCTTGTTTAACTGCTTTCGCGGGTCTCAGCGATGACAGGGTAGTAAAACTGGGTTGCCTTATGGCGGCGATATCCAGACGGAAGCCTTTGGAAGTTCAGATAGGTGTCTGTGTCTGGACAGACACTCAGTCAATTCAAACGGTTTCAGACGTCTGCGTTTCTCAGTGGTCTGTTGATGGAACGCGTATGCTCACCGATTCTGGTGTGCACTTCCCTGGCTGTCTGACCTATATAGACCTCCGTACAGTCGTTACATTTTATTTTGTATACACAGTTCCTAGTCCTATCGACCGAAAGGCGATCCTTCAAATGCACCAACATCGAGCGTAAAGTTTTCCCCTTCTGGAAAGCTACTCTAATGTTAGCCGTATTCAGTACCCTTCTACTGACCTCAGATGTCCCTGTTTTGTATGGAATGACCGCTGTTCCGATCCTCTCCTTGTTGGGCTTTGATGCTGGTACCAATACCCGTCTTAGTTGCCACTTATTTAAACCCACTGAATATCCGCTATCTTGAAGTCGCTTTTTTACCTCAAGTTGTGCTGCTCTTCGGTCGACCTCCTATGTACACAGTGCTCTCACTCTCCTAACCATCGCTGCAGCTATGCTAGCAAATACTGTTTTTGGATGTGCAGAGGAGTAGTTTAAGATCCCACCGCAATCTGTTGGTTTCCGATATACAGTGGTTTTTATTTTCTCACCACTCTAGTGTGTCATGCAGTCAAGGAAAGCTAGTGTATCCGATGTGGGCTCCATGCTAAACTTAATGCGAGGGTCCAATGTGTTCAGACGTTGAAAGAATTCGTTCCCGCTTTACCACAACGAAGGTGTCATCTACATAACATCAGAACACCCTTGGTGGACACTCGAATCCGTTTAAAGTTTTCTGTTCGAAGTCTTCTATGTGCATATTGGCCAAAACCGGGGATGTTGGTGATCCCATCGCAAAACCTTGTTCTTGAGAGTACATAATTGAGTCAAAAACAAAATGACTGAGGTTTAGGCATACCTTTATGCCTTCGACTATCTCGTCTACGGAGAGTTGTGTTCGTTCTTGCAGCGTTATGTCTGCCAGTAAAAGTCTTCTCGCTACTTCCACAGCGTCCGCTCTAGGGGCGTTGGTATACGCTGACTTGAGGTCAAAGCTAGCCAGGAGTTCGTCTGGCTCCATCTGAAACCCAGCTACTTTTTAGCAGTCATACGAATCTTGGATGTGTGTGGGTGACTTGCCGGCAAATGGGTTAAGGATACCTGCTAGATATCTGGCCAGCTCGTGTGGTGGTCAACCTACGCCATCCACTATTGGTCTTATGGGGACACCTTCTTTGTTAATTTTCGGTAACCCGTAAAGTCGCGGTTGGATTGCACTTTTTGAGTGCAGCAATAAATCCACCGACTGTTTACCAAACTCCTCTGAAACGATGGTTCAAATTTACTTTTTGCTGGTGAGCATGTTTTACTGGCACTTTCCGGGGAGAAATTTCGACGTCTATATCGAATGTAACATCCATTTTTCGCACACCAACCTGATGATCTGCTATACTCACAGCTGAAGGGCAGTTGGAGGGCGTACGGCTCGAACTTCATTGACCTAGTTGGCGTGCAAATTATGCATCAAAACAATCAATAAGGCGTTGAACTTGCAGCCACTCTCATGTTTGGAAAGCTTTGGAAAGTGCTTGGTGCAACCACTGTCAATGACCAAACACAGACTTCAAAGTTTACCGTGCCTGAATCCTCGATCGATTTCTTTTTCGATGCTATCCGGGGACAAAGTGCATATGCTCGTCAGACCAGTTCTCGAATACTTGAGTTCTGTAGGGGATGAGGAATATACAAAGTCGACACATCTGGATTATCAGCAAGCTGCTTCGGTTACCGCATGTTATCGGATTGTGCTCAAACACAAATCGAAGAATAACTGACGAGGTTTCGGAAGACCATGAGCATGGTTAGATAAGTCCAAGAACTATTGGTTTGGAGCTAGACATGGTTGTAGTGCGTCTCAAGACACACACAAACCGTGTAGATTCTCCAACATAAACGAGCCGTTCGCAGTAAACTCTCGACAAGTAGCGACATCAGACAAGTTGTGGACTTGCTTCAGTTACCAACAGATGAGGCCATGCCCTCACAGCATCAGTTTATCTAAAACAATCGGAATGGTTCATTCTTGGAAACCCTAAATGATATGACTTCATGAAATTATTCTGGGGAAGTTCTATAGTGTATTACTATGGTATAGTAGTATATATATATCAGTAGTATATAATAGAGTACGGCATGTTGTGTCCTGAAGGGATCAACAGTTTATCCACCAATCTTATTCCCTCAAGGTTACAGGCTCGGCCACAGCAGCCTACCAGATTCTGAAAAAACCGCTTTTGTTGTCTCAACTACACCCAGGCGTGCTGTGATCCAACCAAATCAGACGATGACCAACAGTGACAGTGATTTCATTGATACAGAGACCAAGTTTGCAATGTGGGGCATTCATGAACACCCCGCAATGACATCTTAAATAGTCGATATCTCATCCCCTCCATCAGTCTACATCCTCACTACTGTTTGCAGTGAGGATACTGACACTTTTTTTCCAAAGGATCACGATGAAATTTATCCAGAGGCGCAAGACTAACCGTATATTTATGGTTCTGTACGCATCATCGTTCTATTGGTATGACTGTGACAAGGTTATGAGGTTGTCCGCTGTTGTTGTTGTTGTTGTTGTTGTTGTTGTTCTTACTGACGGGACTTGTAACAATCTCACGGATACTGTCATATTCCATAATTCTTCCCTCTGGTCATGTTGCAGACCCGACCACTCCGTCTCGACACGATGTCATACAGGAGCGTACCAAGGAAGGACTGACTGGTCATTTGAATTGCAACATCTCCTCCATGCAAATCGGTCGAGCGGATCAATTGGATGGTGATCAAGAAGAGATGCTTGTCTTCTGGTTTCGTGGCAGACAAATCGGGGAACCTATCGATTTGGCGGAGAGCAATAATAGGGCCGGGCGGATCAAGTATTTGACCAGTCGAGTCAATCGTATGAGTCAGCTGTTGAGTATCGTCAATCCACGGCGGTCGGAAGATTCTGGAGCATACAGTTGTCGGTGAGTGCGAGCGGTGAACTATTCATCAACCGGCTTTACTACACTGCAACTAAATCCTGCTTGTGACTAATCCTAAGTCGATACGTCCAAAGGGTTTTAAAGTGTAGAGTCTTAGCCTCCTACTGTTAGTGTAGTAACTCCATTTTCCTCAGCTTAGTTCTCGGTCTGAGCCTCCAAAGCTAGCCTTCACGTCAAAACAACCACCAAAGGTGCACAAGGTCTATTAATGTCCAAAACGAAGTCAGGAACACTTGTACAGCGCTTCGCACATATATAGCGTAGGTGGTTATAACTTTCTGGAATTTCTGACGCGTTCTGAATGCGCCATTGGCAATCGGCATTTGGCCAATACTGGGTTATGCTTGGTTGGTGGGTCCAGATTCTCGACCAATCAGATCTCGTCTTGATGCCTGACCGGCAAGAGTCTCGAATTCTTGGCGAGTCTCGTGCAGGCTAGGCTTATCGGCCGTAGCCGAGCCTGAAGACATGCGGCATAGCGGGATCCGTGTGGATTCCTGTCTGACAGTTAGCCAGTTGATGAGCAATGCTGAAGAAGAAATAAATCACAGGGCAGAGGAACCATCCTCATGAGAAGCCATCCATCGAGGGGGAAGTCAACACATAAGCACTTGATGTGAATTCTATGAGTGGCGATATATCTTGTTTAGGGAAAGTCTCAAGGTTTTACCAACTGAACAGTTACAGACTATTGGACAGGGAAACGAAACCCTCATATGCATCTTGTTTATAAAAACTGAATATCCGTCTGTTTCTCGAACAAGTCTTCCTGAACTTTCCTGGATACTCATTGACTATCGGTCAAATGTAAACAAATGCCACAAAGCGATTCCACAAATTCCCTAATAAATCTCACTTTTTAATGAACGCCAAGAGCACTTATGAGAAAACCACATACTACTGGCCTGTTTCATCAGTAGTATCAGATCCTGATGATCATGATGGAAATCACAGCAAATATGCCACTTTGAACAGCGAAATTTTACACAGAAAAAACCCAGTTTTAATGGCCAACCTGAAGCCAGTGATGCATAAGAAATTAGGCACGTCAGACTAATCTTCTATGAGAGCTGTTCCCTGCGGATGACGGGAATGGTCTGTTTTCCAAATGCAATCAAAGCAGGCGTTTTAAGCCTAACGGTCCTGAGGGAGATTCGACCTTTAATCTTCCTGCTTTCAGCCCGTGTGTGTCTGCATCCCTATCTCCTTTCCTGCTATCTCTGTGAGCGATAGTGGCAGAAATCCTCGAAATTGATTAAAGTGTAGAAGCAATCACGAACAACTGTTTTGATTCCAAGTTTCTACTCTGGAGGGGAACGTCGTTACCCAGTTGACTGTTGCGAATCCATGGGTACGTCTCTGGACTTCCGGATAGGCCCAGATGGTTGATACGCTTGTGAGCACCATCGGGCTGAGGGAAATCCTTGAATCCTAGTCTCAGATATAAAGTTCGTCTAATCTTTGGATCAAAAACTGCGTCGTTAGGCCACATGCTAAGGTCAAATTTTGGATTCGGCTGAAGTGACCTTAGAAATATTCCCTGATTACACAAAATTTCGATGACACGATTCCGAAAAACCAGTTACTACTTATAAAACGAGAGAGGAACCCGCCTCGTGCATCCTCAGTAGATAAGACGAAAGACGTTTCCACTGTACAGATAGCCGAACATCTACCCAACTGGCGAAAATTCGTGATTTCCACCCCATTTTGTTCGGCAAAAGCGCCGAGATAGCGCAGTGGTTGAAGCGCGAATTTACTGGCCGGAAGGTCCGTGGTTCGAACCCTACTCCTGACTCTCAACATCCCCTGTCTATGCTTGGGTAACCTGGCAGTATCCCAGTCCTCATGCTTCCTTCAGGTGGCAGAGCAGTCGGGGTGTTACAGGTGAATGATTCTTGATTCTTCAAAAGCACCCCTCAACAGTAGAAACATGGAACCAGACCTCTTGAAAGCGTTTTCTATTTTCTGGAGGCACTCACTCAGTGCCGTGCTAATGTGATTTGACATATCTCGATTGGCTGCATCTATTCTGAACATGGCATAATCCGCGGCCTTAGTTGAAAGGGCGGCATATCGAACAGTCTTGTTTACTGTACTGTACTGAACCATAAATTCTATGTTCGCATGCATCATTCTATTCATCAGTACTTTCGTCTTATTTTACAAACGGTGTTCCTGTAAGACATTCAAGCGACTCTGAGTATCAAATCGAAAATGTGCACTCCTTCCCCTGACCGTATCAAATTCGGATCACCCATCTTCTACTGCCAGACTTAGTTGGTTAGTTACATCGCTGTTTCGTGTATCTGTCGAATCCCAACAGACCTAAAACAGATTGTGTATATAGTTGGTTCAAACGAAACCTGTTATCTGGTGCTCGGCCATGTTTGTATTACTATTCAATATTTGTTTTTCAGTGTTTATGACCCGAAAACAAGAGCGCTACTCGGACAAATTCAATTTGAATTGATTATCGGTAAGTTCTGTTACTGGGGTAGATAAACTCCATGCTCCCATCTCCAAACATTTACAGGTACTAACCTGTCACAACAAGGCAGAACTATGCCCGCAGATTCTCTGCCGACAGGCTTTCATCGTCAAGCATAGTGAACGATGCTCAAAAGGTTCTTCAACATGCTTTTAATCATATCTGTCTCCGGTGAGACAAAGCGGTCGGACGATAGCAGACAGGAAGGATCTCTTCCAGATAAGGCCCGCCGGAACAATAAACCCCGCCACCTAAAAATATTAGAAAAAAGAGGATGCGAAGTTTGTACTCCTAGGTTTTGTTGAAGAGGATGAAATTGGGACATGTCACTAATAATTTACATGAAAAGGTCCGTTTTTCGGTACCTTTGCCTTCAAACGAACTCACACAAGCAGCTGTCCACTGAAGATCGGTGTGTGCCGCATTGGCGTTTATTCTGCATTTTGTAGACGTTCCACAGAGATTCAGTGACGAGATATTGGCCTTTCATCGACCTTGAGGTGTAGACCTGGGTCGCCGACAACTGTTTCAGTCTGCAGGCGAAAACTTCGCGAAGAAAGTTCTTCCAGTCAACAGCGGTCGTGTGGCTAATGGATAATTCCTCTTAGCAGAATTTGATTTCTGCCAAATTTTTGGACCAGCAATAAGTGAATAGAATTACTGTCCT